CATAGATCAGAGCTCACCATAACAAGTCCTTTTAAGTTAAGTCCTTCTCTAAGGCTCTATCTCCAAGCACAGCCACATCCTGAGGTCCCAGGAGTAGGGAATCAAGACAGGAACTTGAGGACGAAACTCAACCCAGAATAAAAATGTTAGTGACTAAAAGTACACAAGATCCTAATGAGATAATTAACAATGTGATATAGGAAGAAAAGGGCTAAAGATGTAGGGAAAGTGGGAAGGGAATAAGGGAAAAGAAAAAAATATGAGAAAATGAAAAAATGGAAATAAAGTGTTTATAAATAGGGGAGAGGAGGAGGGGGTGAAGGGAGGGTAGGAACAAGGGGAAAAAATGAGAACCAAGACCTATCATGTAAAGGTATGAGATCCCAAAGATGAATGCAACTGTATTGTATACCTAACATACCAATAAACTCAATAAAAAGTGCTAGGTCCCCCATACCAAATAAACACCCCCCCAAAAAAAACATTAGTGACAAACAATATAATGATACAGTAAAGACAAAACAAAATACATGACCTCAAAAACACAGATATGTGTTACTGAAGCCACCCAGTGTTGTATTCTGTCATGGCAGCTTGAGCAGCAGGGAAATTTCCCCTTTGAATATTTACACAGGCATCCTCACACAGTGCGTAGCCCTCACAGAAATGCTGGGCTTCATTTTTCTTGTAGTAAATTTCTGAGATCTTAGAAACTAAAGGAAAAACATAATTTCCCCATGAGCATCTAACTATATCCAGAAATGAGGATATTGTCTGTTTTAATGGAGACGTTAATCCTAGAAAATACTATCCCTCATATCCACAATTATGCACAAACTGGAAAAATGACATGAGTTAGGGAATAGTATGATTAGGAAGCTTGTAATTGGTTAACTGTCCTCACCCAGTATCTTGTGTGGCCATTTCTACCTTAATGGTAGTCACCCCTGAGGAGCCACAGCACTTGGATTTTTTGTCCTATGCAACAGAGCTTACATGAAATCACAGAGAAATACTAGCAGACCTCATATAAATTTGGGAAGATGATACATTAGATAGAAGTCAGGATCAGATTCAAGGAAAGGTCCTGACAACTTGAATGAGCAGAGACAAATAAAGTGATAAAATTTAATAAGGATAAATGTATGTTGTACACCAGGGTCCAAAAATACTTCCTGGAAAATTTTAAGTAAGAGATAAGATGGCTTTACAAGAACAACATTATAAATTTTAGTGAAATCTTTAATTGGTAAAAAGGACACTGTGGTTCAATTATGTGTTTAATGAGAATTAATATATTATTAGACCACTCCAGGAGCACTACAATAATTCGAAAGAAAGACGAATAACGCATTTCAGTCAAGGCTGTCCAGACTTCTTCTGGAACATTTTGTTTCTAGGTGAAACACTTTAGAGTACAATGCTAGAATATATTTAGTTCCATGTTAAATGAAGGATATATTACAACTGGAAAATAATATCCAGGATAAAACAAGACTGAAGACAGAGATACACTTGTCTTCAGATAACCGCAAGGTTGTCATTTGGGAAGGCTTTCAGCATATCCCCTTGTCCCCAAGAGGGAAAGATGGAGTTGGCCTGGCTAACTCCCCTCACCCTTCAGAAAACAGTCACTTCCTCAGAGCCTTCGCTGGCCTGCAGACTGGGCTCAGCCACTGGCTTGGGCTCCTGGCTGCATTGTTCTCTATCAGACAAGAATCTTCTGTTTGTCAAATCATGTCAGCTCTGGGTCTTGGTCCATCTGAGCTGCTATAATAAAATCCTAAGTGGCTTATGAACAATGGGCATTTATATATCATACTTCTGAAGGCTGGAAGTCCCATATCATGACAGCTTCCGAGTGTGGAGAGGGCTCCCTTCCTGGTTGACGGATGGTACCTTCCCGCTCTATTCTCACATGATACAAGGGTGTGGGGTCTCACTTTTGCCTCTTTTATAATGACATTAATCCCAATCATGAGACTTCTGCTCTTCTGAGCTAATCCTTTCCCAATACCATCCTCTCAGGAGTTAGGATTTCAACAGACCCAAGCACTCAGATTACAAGCCTCAGACTGGAAGTTCCCAGACAGGACGGACAGTGTCTGATGTGTTAGTTCCAGAAAACTCACACCTGGCACAGGTGAAAGAACTGTGAACTGAGGAATGGGCTGACTTAGCATGAAGACATATTTTCTAATAGAGTTTTGCAGATTCGTGCCTCAAGAAATAGTCTTTTTCTTTGATAAGAGGCCCTTGTTTCAGCTGCAACATCAGGTTGGGGGAATTAAACTGACAGACTGATTTTTAGTGTCTTTGTCAACCCAAGAACTGTGGGTTGAATTCCACTGGGAAAGTCGTGCTTATTATACTATAGATTTCATTTCAGCACATCAACTCAATTCCAACCCATTTTGGAAAATTTAGTAACACATTTCTACATAATTGTTCCTGCTCAAACTCACATTTTAGTTGATGTTTCTCCACATCTTTTTCTTTCTCCCTACTCCCCAAAGCTGATGCAAACAATGCTGCTTTATTGTAAGAATATAAAGCTTTAGAAAACACAGTAGCAGACACTGAGGTGAGGTCAGTCTCAGAGAAGATAAAAATATGTCTGAGATTCTTCCATCAACTGTGCCCAAAGTAAATGCAGATTTGATAAATGATACAGTCATTACCTCTCCATTTCCCTTTCTGCTGACTTGATTTCTTTACAAAAGCCCAATTTTCCATAGAAACAGGTCAGATTTACAGCAAATACAAAGATTGCATCTTTTATTTATAAGGCAAAAAAATACCCAAATACTTTTCGTTAAAACTGCACCCTATAATATTGGCTCTCAAAGCATGCCATAACTCTCATTCCTGTGGCAATTAATAAGTGGAGACCTTGAAGGTCAATCTCCTCCGAAGTTACGGAGACGCTCAATTTTGACTTGGTTACTGGATCCAGTTTGACAATGAAGTTTGGGGATGAAGCTATGAGACCCATGGGCAGCTGCACACGCCGGCCCCCTCTTTTTCTCTCTGCCTTCCTTTTGTGATGTATCCTCTAGCCACGAATCAATTCATAGACCACTGTGGAATCAGGTTAATAATGTTGTTATTAGCCAGTAAAAATAAAAATTTAAACACAGCTTATTTATTTTGAATCCTACTACATCCCTTGAGAAGACTCTGAAAACAAGAGGTAAATAGAACAGGCACAAGGCATTACACAGAGCTGATTGGAGGAAGCTGGCAAGTGACAGCCCAGAGTAGAGAGGACAACTGATGAATGTGAACTTACTCACTGAGAGGCGCACCTACAAACAGGACTGAGGATGATGCTCCTCTGTGGGCCACGGGGAGATAATTTTCATGGCTTTTGAGTTTAATGCCTAACTCTTAGGGAAAGGCAGAATTGCTGAGAAGAAAGAAAAGTAAGGGGGAGTAGCTGGGTGTGGTGGCAAATGTCTATAATTCCAGCACTTGGGAGGCTGAGGCAGGAAGATCACCTAGCATTCAGGACTGGCCTGAACTACATAGCATTGAGACCTCGTTTCAGAAAGAAAAAAAAAGAAAAGAAAAGAAAAGAAAATAGGAAGTTACACATTATCAAATTTTTTCTTTAGTATGTTGTCATGCTACCATTTAAAATTCAGTAGGATGTTATGGTTTATGTTTCATTATGTTTAGGTTGATATTTATACCTTCCCATGTCCTGTACACCTTTAAGCAAAACCTGCCATACAATGTAGTAATTCTTGTGTGTAGGGCACTTCTAATGTTTCTCTGAGGAGAAAAAAAACAGGTAGAAAAAGTAGGCCTATCGAAAGAAAAACTACATGAATGTACTCTGTAGAGCAGAACATCTTAAACTGGAAGGTGCCACACAGAGACCCTGTGGAAATGTAGATTTTATTTCTGTGGGTCTCAGGTTGAGCTCAAGAGTCTGCTCTCTAACGAGCTTGAGCAAGTGTGGGTGCTGCCAGCAACCACACTGAGCAGGTTCTGGACCATTACATAAAAATCTAGTTTGGCAGGGAATCTGTCCCCTCGGTCTTCTTCCTCTATTATCTTTTTTTTTTTTTCCTAGTCCCTGCACTCTTCCCTCTGGCTCACAGGTGAGAAAATTTTAGGTCCACGTAGCCTGAGTACAACAGAAAAGAAAAGATTCTAAAAGTACAAATCAAACAGAGCAGTAACATTTTAAACTGGCTCAGAGAGAGAGAGAGAGAGATATTTTTGACATATATGAACTACGTATAATTCATATATATCAGTATGAAAATTTACTGGATATTTGTCTTTCCATAAATGAATATGTTTCCTATGTCCATATGACTTCAACAAGTATTTATTCACTGAACACACAGCTCACCATCTCACCGTTCAAGTAACCCCGGATTACGATGCGGTCCAAATGGGTCAAAATTTTCTAGATGACTGGTTTATCTTTCAGGTTTCCAAATATTTATTTTAATGACTTTCAACTGAAATCTTTCAGGAATTAATTGAAGTATGTTAAACATACAAAACAATTGTTTATATATCTACAATTACGCAGGGTCAATAATTACTACTGCATGACATGAACTTGAATGTTGTGAGCTACTAAGGTCCCCACAGGACTCTGTGCTTATTCGGTCTGCAGCCACCTTCTGCCTCTCTCCTCCATGACAGGCTGCCATTGCACACTGCTCTCTGATTGCCTTCATCTTATAATTTTTAATTTCTCCCTTATCTTACATGAGATTTTGGGTAAGATTATGAAACCAGCTCCCTTCATGCCTCTCCTGTTTATTGTTTTGTTCTGTTTTTCTTTTGAAGTACCGAGAGTTGAACCTAGGACCTCATGCATGATAGGCAAGCACTGTGTCACTGAACTATAACCCCAGCCTTCTATTAGGATTTTAAAGTAAGAATTCTCTCAGGCTTTGTATTATTGATCACCAGGCTCAGTATAACCATTTTCACTTAAATCACGTAAGTCAATTCCTTCTTTAAATACTCACTGATCCCAGTGTCCTTACAGTACTGGACCAAGTACTGTCCCATGACTTTTCGTAGTTGATTATATTCCTGGGTATTGAGAAATTCTTGTTTATTATGGGATGGTTCCATGATCTCCAAGGGTATGTTAACAATTCCAATCACACCTGTGCCAAGTCTGAGGGAATAAATTCATATAAAATGTTTTAAATTTGGGTGAAGAAAAAAGAAAACTCAAAATGTATTGGTCATTTGGAATCAGTGTTTTCAAAAGTAAATATATTCACTTTGGACCATGTCAAAATTTAAAATTTTATCTTATGGTTCTATTTCATCATCATAAATCTATGCTGATCCCGGATGTATTTGGTCCCATAATACAACATCACTTCAATATATTATTACTGAATTAATACAACTCTTCTCCCTAACCTGTTGCCTTACATGAAGATTGGCGGAAAGGAGGAGCTTTTCAGCATAACAAGTAACAATGCCTCAGTATAATAAACCTCCATGATCCTCTTAATGAAACTGGCCAGAGACACTTTCTCTGTCCCTATTTCATTTGTCAGGCTGGATTTCTCCTCACTGCAGAGCTTTGTGGAGGCTCCCACAACTTGTACTCAGAGAAAATATGAGCATCATTATCCTAGGGGGTGACAGGTATCTGACTGCTAGCTTAATGAATAGAGGTTTGGGTTTTGTTTTGTTTTTCTTTTCATTTCACTTTCCTAATGGCACTGTACATACCAGGGATATTCTACTTGGTGATGCAACCTGTTTGTGTTTTGGTTTTTGGTACCATGAATCAAACTCAGGGACTTGTACTTGTCAGGCAGGCACTGTGCCACTAAGCCACATCCCCGGCCAACACTACCTGTTTTAAGAAAAGCATAAGGTTATCTAACACTGCCAGTTCCCCACTGCCCCTCCACAGGACACCGATCACATCTGTTCAGACTAGGGGCCACATCTGTCATGTTTTTACCATGTTCCTCTTCCACCCTGCATTATTCTTTCTCTAAATCTAAATTTGGAAACCACTTCTTCCAGGAATCCTGACCTTATTGCCCTTAGTTTGGTTACTGTCTTTCTCAACACTGTGATACCTCAATTGCTGAACGGCTCTAAGCTCAAACTTGCCACTACTCAAACAGCAAAGTTTGAAAAACACCCGCTTGATGTTCCTAACTTTGCTCAGTAGGCAAACCAAACATTCAACTTGAGAAAACTGAGTCTCACTGTGGACGCATAGTGGAGTCTAAGCACTGCTCCCACCTAGACAACATAGAGTGCTTGTGTTACTGAATTAAAACAATCACCACTGTGCTTTTCTTGTGTTATTTATTTGCACAAAATATCATAATCATGGATCCAAAGAAAGTTAGTGATACAGCAGTAAAGCTAAGAGGAAAATGTGAGAACCATGATAGAGTTAAAGAAAGAAATCATTGCCAAATTTGTTAAGGTCCTGAAAAAATAATTTTGGAGCTTCAGAACCAATTATTTGGATTTCCATTACTCTTACAGGGAAAATATCTTCAGTTCTTGAAATTTTCAATGTTCGAACACAAATCTGGAATGAATTGAGTTTGACAAGCGAGGTATCACTACCGCACGCTTTATGCGCCAGATGCTTACTTTTAATATAGTATTCACTCACTCATTCATTCACTCAAATGCTACACCTGCCTGGCACAATTCCAGGAACTAGGAATGCAGTGATAAACAAGAAGGACAAGTTTGTGATTAAGAAGTTTCTCTGCCACTGAACGGAGGCAGGCAGTGACACTCATAATCAGGCTAATGTATAGGAGCATTTCAGATGGTGACAGGTGGCATGTGGAAAACACAATAGATGACTTAAATATGTGAAGAGTCACAGGCGGGGGTGACCACAGCAGCCAACTGTAATTAGTCAAGAAAGAATGAATTGTGTGGAAAAGATGTTAGAGTTCACGCCTGGGTGGTGTACTAGGGCCAGCACTCTCGAGATCTGAGGACAGAAGGCTCAAGGCAGAGGGAAAAGCAAGTGCTAAGGCCTTCAGGCAGGAAGCATCTCAGCAGGCAGAGGAGCAGGAATGCAGAGAGGTTAAGCTATTGCAGGGAGTGGGGTACCAGAGACAGCCCAAGGCTAGATCATGAGAGGCAGTTTCAGTTACTCTAATTGCTCTGGAGTTTTAAGCAAGAGTCAAGTATTCTGGGTTTTATAAGATAGTTCTATTTTTACAAGTGTACAAAGAAATGCATGTTTATATACTTGTCCCTTTGCCTGGACTCTATATTCCTAAGCAAATCACAGGTGGACTTGACCATTTTGTCCTCAGAGCTTCGTATGGTGTCCAGCACATACACAGTAAAGCTGTTGATTGAGCAAGAAAGGAACAGCTACTTCCTTAAGAGTGAGGAATCAAGATGACAAATGCTTCCCTGACCCATTCTACTGGTCATAGGTATCATGCCTATCCTTTCCACGGTGTCTCTTTGGGACTCTACATAACTGATGAAAGCAGCTTACGGAGTTTTAGACCATTGGGAAAACAACAGAATGTGTTCCTCAAAAGTCCAAGTGGGCTGGAAGCTTTTAATAATATATGCTTATTCGGATAAATGGCAAAAATTTATCCATGTTAGGGTGCAGCACAAAATGTTAATAGGGCTACTTTTCAAGACTATGGATTTTTCTTTCTCTTCTAAAATGTATTTAATGTGTCTGCAATGCTTTTAAGTTGGTAAAACATTAAAACCTGAAGATGTAGCACAAGAAGTGGTAAAGTACCAAACTGTTCAAGAAATGCAATGAAAACAGTTTTTAAAAGTGTGTCTTTTCCTTTGAGGAAGCATACAGATTTATTGACATAAATTAAGCAGATTAACGCCTGCACATTAACAGAAAGGGTGAGCAGAGAATATGACACCTGCTCCCATTATAATTTATCACTGCTCTTATTCCACAGACAAAATCTTACTGCAGCCTCCCTGTGCCCGCCTGTGCATCTGAAAACAAAAGCATACTTACAAGGACTTCCATTTCAGCTGTGGACCCACTTTCTCATGCATTTTGATCAAGCGGCTATTACTATAAAGGAACATTCCATATTGGCGTGGGTTTTCTATGTTCACTCCAAAGAACAGGGAGAGTGTTCTTGCTTTTTTTAATTCTCTAGAGGTACATTTAGAAAACTTTTTGAAAGTTTTTATTAAGCAAAAAGAGGCACTTTACAGAACTGCTAATAATTAAATTCAGAAAGTAAGCATCAATGGAATGATACATAACATATCCGGCTATTCTGGAAAACCTGGTAGGAATGTATACCTGGTGTCTCCATATAACCAAGCATTCTGCATTACGATACCAGTCAAACACAGGCATTCACTGATTCTAAAACAAGTTTTCTAATTTAGATTTATAAGAACCAGAAAGCATCAAAAGAATCCTGAAAATATTAACTGGCCTGCAATGTATATATTGAAGTATTTTTGAAAAGTGCTAATTTGGGTAACTGTAGGTTTTTCTAACACTGGATGTAATTTCTAACCTTCAGCACGTTTCCACATCTCCAAATATCCTACATAGACTAGAATATACCTTTAGCTTTCTCTCCAAACTTTTTGAAACACCAAAGGTAAATAAAAATTCATAACGCAAGTTAATAAAGGCAACAGATATGAACTCTATTTTTCTGACTTTGTTCTATACTATGTTTTGTGTTAAATTTTTTCATTAAACATACAAAAACACTGAGAAATAACAAAATGTGATACAAGCTGCGGGAGCTGTGAAAACTACTCATATGTAAGAGACAGAGGTAGCTTCAAATGCGAGCTCACATGGAAATAACTGGGCAAATATGAATGAGTCACTTAAACACTTTGTCCCACCTGGAATGTGGAAGTAAGATCTACCTAATAATGGGGAACACTGTGAGAACTAAAGGTGATCGTTTTAAATATATGGAATAGATTTGGTGCCTTACAAATGCAATTCTAATTTTCCTTTTTCAACCAAGAATAGCACCAAAGACAGTGCTTCCCCTACACTCAACCGTAGCTTCGTGCCATCCACAAACACAGCTTTTTCTTTTCAGATCCATGACCATGACCTATCACAATTGAAGGTCACAGACTTACTGGGCTGATCCAATGCATCTATCATTAAAGAACACAGATCATGTTCTACCAATCCTTCCAACACAGATAGTATATTCTGAGTACATCAGAGACTTTCTGAGAAAGTTATTAATATGGGCCAATATATTGTGCATTTATTTAACACGCGAACATTTAAAGTAAACATATGGGGATCAAACTTTTTCTTAAAAATCTTAATGCGATACCAATAATATAATGAGACACCAATTCTTCAAGAAACAAGAGCACTGACTATGTAATAATAGTCCCTTACTGTTTGACTTCAAATTTTTTAAAATAGTGTTTTGTTATAAAAGCATGTCAATCCAGCTGGCATTATTAATAAAATATATACAAGGGTAACTCTGCATACATTACACTCTAACAATGGGTTTTTTTAATTTCTAGGACATTTAAATTATTCTGATAAACATGTAACATTTCAAAATGATTTATTTTGATAAATGCATAATTAACTTTTCAAATTTAAATTCTGAGGAAATTTACAGCTATATGCTAGCATATGGCTTACCAAAGATAATGCTGAAAACTAATCATCCTTCCCTAAAAAAGTTTCTCAAAGATATCACAATTTTCAAAGACTGACCTTATTGGGCAACAGTGATTATTTTCAGGTTTAGTTATTAGCATTTGAGTTGGAGGTCAACTCAACCTTACAAATGTCAATATTTGGTTTTCTAAGTTAGCCTTGCTATTTTAACTATGTATGTGATGTATTACTTAAACTATTATTTCCAATGTTCTATTTTAAGCTGGACAAAGGAAGAAAGTGGGTGCAACTCTCCATGGTTTAAATATCAAGTTATAGAGGGATGATGAACTTGTGAGCTGATAGTCTAGTTCAATTTCTTCATCCAGTGTAAACTACCAAATCCTGAACCAGTTTTTTTTTCCCCAAAAATTTTTAACATTGCCTAAACAAATATATGCACACGCCAATATATATTTTATAAATATTTTACATTGATAGGGCCGGGGATTTAGCTCATCAGTTCGGTGGCCTGCCTTGCAAGCGCAAGGACCCGAGTTCAATCCCCGGTACC